GTAACAAATGTTTCATTAGTTGTGACAACTTTTGGTCTTGTTGCTTTTGTTTTGCGACTCAAAGCTTTGATTCCTATTTACTCTCTCAGGTCCTCTTTTGTCTTTGGCATGTGTTGTGCCTTTTGTGTGTATGAGTGAGTATGCCGGCGTGTTTTGTGTGTGTGTGTGTGTGTGTGTGTGTGTGTGTGTGTGTGTGTGTGTGTGTGTGTGTGTGTGTGTGTGTGTGTGTGTGAGAGCACACACCCTCTGAGATACATTCCTGCGATCTTATCGAAAGATGGTTACTGTTTGCCTCTAATTAATTTGCATGGTTAGCGATAGGTAGCATAGCGGCATATCACATTGCAGTCTGACACCAATACATCCATCCATCCATTATCTGAAACGCTTTTTTTTTAAATTATCAATACAGTGGACCCCCACTGTTCTCGGGGGCCGGCCCTCGAAAAGTGAAAATCTGCATAATATATATATATATGAATGGGTGGGGGAAGTATTTCCATCTGTATGTATGTATTTTCAGTTGTGCAAAATATATTCAATAAAGACAAAACAAGCAAGAACTATGGTGGCCCTAAAGGGTCAAAACATTTCACAAAAATGTGGTTTATTAATTTTTAACTATTAACTATTTAAATGCCCACATTAGGTCATCAGGCTCCAGAGGAGGCTAACAGGTTAGCCTTTGTAATGACTTTTCCGACACGCATCCATCTCGGGGGACATTTTTAATAAGAGTGTTGGTCTGAGGACTGAACGTTTATTAGCTTATTAGCGTAGCATTGTGCTTGGCTAATTGAATGGTTGCGAATAATGAACACGCTTATGGTCTTTTTTGTTCTTTGTGATTAGACGTTTCGCTTCTGTTGTTTCATCGCTTTGGTGCTCTCAGCTGGATGAACAACCTCCCAAAAGAGCTACTGTTCCAAAGCCAAGACCAGAACTTCCTATTCTTTCTTTGGCCACTTTGTCTATTTATTTCTATTTTCTTTGTCAAATCAAGAAAGAGAATTTACTTTTATTTTAAAGGTATATAACCATTGTTGGGACAAAAGATTTATTTGACACATTTCTGACGATTTTGTCTTTGATGGTAATGTTAAGCCTTGTTAGCTTAGCACAGCCCGGCAGCTAATTGGGCCTCTTGGTAGTAGTTTTTTACTCTTTTGTCTATTTTTTGTTTTTAACTTGAGCTCAAGACCTAATTGTGTTTGATATTTACTAAGGATGTATTCACACCTGCGCTGTTTGACCCACTTTAACTGGACCAGGGTTTGTAGCTAGCCTCATTAGCTGAGCTAGCCACAGATAGTAACTAGAACTCACAAGTTTGGCGTCTTATCATTTTTTTTTATATAACTGGGGGGTGGGGGGGACAAGAAAAAAAAGATTCGACCAAATTGTTTTTGACGTGTACAATGTTTTATGACAATTGAACATTCCAACATAGCTCGCATTGTTTGCGTAATTACCCGTGGAGAGTAATTGGCCTTACGTTTGTAGTATTTTATTTTTTTTTTACACTTTTTACAATCATGATGTAAAACATGCATTTATGGTATTTGAACATACTCTACCTAGCACTGAAAGATTAACAATGGATACTAACGTGGCCTTACTTTTGTAGCTCCTTATACTTTTTGCATTTATGATATTTTAACCCTATAATGCCATTTGTTTCATATTTGAGACATGCATTTTTATTATGTAACTCATTCTTTATATTACATTAAATTTTTAGGTTTAAAATATGATTTTCCCCAAATTATCATTTTCAGATGTAATCTACATAATGCTTATAAATGTGATTTGACAAATATCTAAAACAACATGATATGGCAGAAATATTTTTGTGGATTTTATGCCTCATGTTGGCACCTTTTACACATAATTTCCCTGATGCATACCTAAATGGGTTTTCTGAAGTTTATACTGTAACTAGCCTCGTTAGTCAGTAGCTAAGCATGTTTAACAAGCTATCAACAGCCTTTAATTTTCAAGTAATCTGGCTAAATTGTCTTTGATGTTTCCAAAATCATGTTTAGGTTTGGTTTGTTGAAGATTCTATTGAAGCTAACCTCGTTAGCCACGCTTGGCATCGATTGTAACTAGCCCTCACATTAATAGCTTAGCATTTTAGCAAGCGAGACAACAACAGGCATTCGTTACTCAATAGTTTTTGATGTTTTTGAAAAACACACACTGTATATTAGACCGTTGAAAATTGTAATGTAGCTAACCTTGTTAGCTCACCCCACCACCATAGAAGTTCGTTTTTAATATTGATGATGCTTTTGTCAGTTAAAGACGCGACGGGAGAGAACATGGCTAGTCAATAAACGTGTTTCCCAAGTTGTTTGCACATTTGTGAGCTGTGCTGAGGTGAACGTACGGGGAATATTGATGAGGATATTAAAGGCGACCGCTCAGTACACGCGGGCCGCAAGGTTAATGACTGCAAAGGATGCCGGGAAGCGAGCGGTGATAGCGGGGGGCTTCGAGACCATGGAGAAAAAACTTTCTGTCGGCCCTTGGGAAGGAAAGAAAAGAAAAAAAAAACAAACAGGAACGCAGGCGGCCTCTGCTTGTTTGTTTTATCCCTCCCTGGACGCCAAGCGGGTGGGGTTTGGACCCATGCCAGCATCCCATTAGATAATCTAATTCTCATTCTGGAATTGAGTCATAATGTTATTTGGAATATTTATTATTTATGGTTTTATTGTCATGTTTTGCTTCATGTTATGACATCAGATCAGCATTATTTGTTGTGAGCTTATTGTTGTAGTACCACTTGTCATTGTTATGTCATTGTTTTAGTGTAATATTTGATGAAATTAGAATTACAATTTTAATTTGTGATTTTATTTATTTATTTCAATTTTTTTCTTCTGGCATTACAAAATGAAATTGTGACATTTTGTGAGCTAAGACGCCCTAAAAACTCATGTAATGCTATGTTATAATACAATGTTTAATTGTGCTTTTAATCATGCTTTTAACATGATTTCAAAAATGTCCTGGTGCTTTATTGTCTTGCAATGACTTTTTTTATGAGTGTTTTAATAATGTTTTCGTTTTTTTCTGTTTTTAACATTTGCACTCATGTTTTTTAATGTTCTTAATGATGGTTTAATTTTTAATGTTTTGATGATGTTTATAAGCATATTTTTAATAACACTTCTAATGATGTTTTTGGCTTGCGTTGAACAGATGCTGAACAAGATAATCCACACACACTTTGTAAGCTGCTTTTACTTTTTACACACACACGCACACACACACACACACACACACACACACACACACACACACACACACACACACACACGCCCCTACTAGACCAGCGGAAGCCAGTGATCATGATTTCAGCAGTTTAGTTTTTGTCCTTTCACCTGCAAATGAAAAACTGAAAATGAGGCGTTTAATATTCCAGTCATAAACAGTGTGCGTCCTCTGAAGACTAAATACGTCATTTCCATGCGAGCATTTAGAATTGATAGTTGTGTTTTCAGAAGCAATGGATATTTAGTTTAGCAACACATGTAGACTCAACTCAACTCAACTGTATTTATAGAGCACTTTCAAACAGCCATCACTGCACACAAAGTGCTGTACATGGAGCAACTATCATATATACAAGAATAAAACAATAAATCAGTAACAAAGACAGTAGAAAGCACCAAACAGCAAAACTAAGATCAAGTCTGAGTCATGCTGAGTCAAATGCCAAAGAACACAAGTGAGTTTTGAGACGATACTCTCAGGCACATATTCTTTGTCCCCTGCGTAGAACAACTACTATTTTCAGATTCTTACTGAGTTAGTTGCAGTAGTAGTGGAAGAATAAGTAGTATTCTTCTTCACTTGTGTCTGCACGATTATTATTCTGCCTCTTGTTGGTCAAGGCAAGCACAACAGAAGGAGCAGCACAACGAATTGAATTGGAACATCAAATCACAATGCACAAACTAGTAAATTCTTTGTATTCCATTTCATTATGTTTTTGCTCTGTTCTTTATAAAGTACAATCTAAAGTCACCTTATTTTTTTTTCCTCATGAAAAAAAACAAGAACCCACAAGCCAAAAAATGTTGTTGTGGCACCTTCGAACAGATTGATGGCATTTCCATTGATTTCAATGAGGAAAGAAAGATTTGAGTTACGAGCGTGGTCACGGATTAAATAGATAGACATTCTGTACATGCAAACAAGTGGAGTTTCTGCTCCTGCAAACCATATATTCTGAGTTATGAATATAGTTTGACACAAAAAGAACAAAATCCCTTTTTGTCCTTCCTGACAGCTGACAAGGAGACATTTACTTTAATGATAGTCTGACTTTGCTCTGAGATAGACGGCACAGAAACAGTCAGTCAATGGATGACGTCCGTACAATTGAAGTGTGTAATATGCAGTCACTTAAGTCAAAGTAAGAAACTTCGATGACTAATACACTCTCTCTGGACTGGTATAAATTGCATTGCTCCCAATATGGCCAAATATATGCGTGAAAATGAAGGCTTATATACTGGATATATCAAAACCACCAGCCATGAAGCTCCCCGACATGTCCTCCCGAAGGTAGCCTGTAAGGGGCGCTCAGAGCACGGCATATGGCGTCTTCACGGAGCTCCGCGAAGCACGCACGCACACACGAGCAAACACACATTTCTACTCGAGAATGGTGAGAAGAAGAGAAAAAAAGATTTTTATTTCCTGTAGACAGAAAAGATGGATACAATATCACAAGTGTGAGTTGGTTGAGACGAGGGGAAGGGGTCGCCTTTGATGTTTAGCAGGTGTATGTCTTGAGGTTGTATCGGGTGTAAAGCGAATAATTCCAAAAGATTTTAAAGGACATTTAGCTCTACGAAAGAAACAGTCGGAATATGTTTTTATTTGGAATAAAAATGTTGTAAAATAGAGGGAGTTCCACGCCGAGTGACGCCCCCCACCCCTGCTTCCCACTCCTCCAGTCCCTGTGGTGGAGACACACTCACAGCACGAGAGCGAGAGAGGAGTTGCAAGCTTGGCTGTGCTTCAGTTTGTCATCGCCCGGGCGGCAGCGCAGCAGCAAGCGAGCGAGCATCGAGCGAACCGAACCAATCCGAGCCACATCGGATCAGGACAGCACCGGACGGCATCGCAAATTGACATCAAAGAGGACCTTTTTTTTCTTCCAGCCTTTTTCTTTAATCTTTTTTTTTTTTTTTAACTTCCCAACGTCTTTTTTTTTTAACGTCCGGCGTCCACTTGCTCCAAAGAACCGGAACCTCCTCGACTACATCCTTGCAGAACCTGGGACGTGATGCGGACCTCCGCCGAGTAACGGGTGAACCGAACCGAACCGAACCGAATCGGTCACGACACTCGCAAAAAGTGGACTTAATTGTGAGCGGAATATTCTCTTGGCTCCATTTGGATTTCAAGTACTTTTAATTCCTCACCCGAGTGGATTTTATCCGATTTTTCTTCTTTTTCGCACTCCTTGAGTTCCGGAGTGGACTCCGGGGACGAGCGGAGCCTGTAGCCGGGCTGGAGAGCTCCAAGCTGGGCTACCGCGCGGCGGTCACCCGCTCCAGGTAGGAAGCACTTCCACCTGCTCGCATTCATTACATTCGCACTCATGTTCACTTCTTGTTTCCTTTTCACTCCGTTGGCTCTCTTTAGTCGACATTTAAACGAGTTTAATGAAAGAAACCCCCCCAAAGAATAAGCTTTGAACGTGTTTGCTGTATTTTAAAACACTTGTTGTCCATTTGTATCCGAGACCAAATTCAATAGCGTGTTCATTTTCCGCTTTCATTGCACTCATCGCAGCATTGATCTCGTATCGAGCGCCGTCCAGCAGTATCCAATGGAACCTGCCGAACAGCAATAGTCACGGTGGTTCATTTCTGGTGGCCTCCATTTGGGCTTCTACACCACAATGTTTTGAGGCAGTTCCAAGAAAGTGTTTGTGATAACAAGTTTGTCAACAACTGGACACAATGTGTCTTTTGAGCTTTACTCAAGGCCCGCGGGTCACCCGGGCTCATGAGTTCCACACATCCGCTCCCTGTGTGAGTGTGTGTCAGCAAAGATGAATATAATCCCAGAGGAGAGGGTTCAGATTGGAACCCTGCCTGAAAATGGCCCCTAAAAACAAACACAAATGGCCAACAGCCAACTGGTCTTGTGTGATTTCTGTGGATTCTGGCAAAATGGACCATGCCGGATTTCACGCCCATCCTGTGCACTGGTGGCGCGTGGTGATCTTTGTAATAATATTAGAAATAATACACATTAAAGTAATCACACTTTCATCGTCTTCCTCGGAACCTGACAAGCGTCTTCGTTTGCATCATCAACGATGTTGAGTATGTTTGATTTCCGTGCGTCCTGACACTGGGAACATGCGTGCCAGACAACCGAGGCACTGGTTGCGAGCGCAGATGTTTTCTAATATTCCAGGGGGGATGCTCGTGAGTAGCTTTTAAAACCGAGGGGGGAATCTGGGACCCTATAAGTCTGTATGCGTTCACCGGAATATATGTTGTGAAAATGTGGTTTGTGACTTTGCAAATATTTCATCATCAAATTGATATTAGAAATGATGAGAGTTAAAGAAATCGATATATTTTGGATATCTATGCTCAAAACATATTCACAAAGTGCTGAGGTGGGGCTGCCTACTGGGCGGAGTGGCATCCGGAACCTTACATTTTCACTTCAAAGAAATTTGCAACGTTGCTCAATGTGTTGATGCCTCCGAAAAGGAGGCTAAAAATAGGACTCATTAAAACGATTCACCCGAGGCTGTTAAAAACTGGACAGTTTCCTCCAGGATAAAAATGTTGACAAAAAAAAAAGTCACATTTGGGGTGGGGTTGACCCCGAAAAGCCTGGTTGGTTTCACATAGATTTACTTGTTTGGGAAAATTCCCGTTTTTCGAAGCCTCCCAAAATAGTCATTTATTTGCAAAACGAATGAGCTAAAGTGCTTAAATTTACAACTGTGCAGGTTTTGGGTGGGGGGGGGTATTTGTAGGACTCCCTAATGTTTGTACATTTCCACCAAAACACATCACTTTGGAAAATTGTCTGTATTTCTGAGTATACTAATGCCTCCTAAAAGTTGATTGTGTCGCAGCCATCAAATATTGAAAATAATAAGAATCAAAGCGACTTACGTTTACTAATGAGTTGGTTTTGAGGTTTCGACTGTTTCCAGGAACCGTTACATTTGAACATTTCCAGAAGGATACACCTGTTGGCATACTTTTGCATTCTTTTGAGCATATTAATACTTCCTAATATAAGATTTAGTTGTGTGGATAGGGGATGAAAACAATTTAAACAATTAAAATGATTTCAATTGACAATTGAGCAAGGTTTTCTTTCCTGTACGTTCTCATCAGGACACACAAGTTTCTTCAACTCAAGCCTCACAACAGGACTTTTTGGCAGGAATCACTTTAAAAATAATAAGAATTAAAGGAAATTTTCATTGGGTTCCAATGTTGCCATGCTTGGGCCCGAAAAACTTGAGTCGAGTTGTATGTCCTCAAAACACTCTTTTAAGCGTGTTTGGAGTTTCAGTGATTCGTGTGTGCGTGTGTCTGTGTGCGCGAATGTGTGTGTGTGTGTGTGTGTGTGTGTGTGTGTGTGTGTGTGTGTGTGTGTGTGTGTGTCAGTCAGAGGCGGGGAATCCGGTCGCCCCGGTTCTGCCGGGAGGGGCGAAGAAACGCTTGAATGACGGAGGGTTTGGCTTGGGACTATTTACATGCACAACGCACGTTCCCATTTTACTCAACTTTGACCCCCCCCACACACACACACACACACACACGTGTGTATGTGCCTGGATATTGTTTCCCTCCTGACACCTGTCAACGCAACGTGTCGGGTATCTCCCACATTGTGACTCAAAATACGTCCCGGAAGTAAAGACGTCCACACAATTCATTTCAAGAGGAAATGGCATCCGTTCATATAAGGCGATTCTATAAAATCCCCAAAACAGATTATGATATGTTTCAAGAACGTATCCATTTTAAAAGTGCGAGGATGCGTTTCGGTTTGATTCAGTGGGTTTACGATTCGATTCGATATGGTACAGCTGGAGTTTTTCTCTGGTTTATGAATACACAACAGTATGTAAAAGATCTCCAAAACTCAAAACGATCCAAGTTGAAAGAAACAACTAATTGGCAACCTCATCAACCCGATTTTTAGCCAAGAGCTTTGGGTTGCTAACGTGAACTTGGAATGTTCTTCCAATCAATAAGTCATTGATTGAAATCAACATGCATTAGTTTTGTGCTGAAATCAAAGGCCTACATTTCATATCCATAGTGCGCAGAATCAGGTGTTGATATTCATCGATCGTGTCATCAACACGGGAGGATCTTTCCCACAACGGCGCATTCCCCTCCAAAATAAAATCAATCAATAAGCACATGAGCAGATATCGAAGTATTCATGTTATGTGTGTGTGTGTGTGTGTGTGTGTGTGTGTGTGTGTGTGTGTGTGTGTGTGTGTGTGTGTGTGTAAGAGGATATATCTCTGTTTTTGGGCATGTGTATGCATGTGTGTTTACCCTGTGCTCGTGCTCCAGTGTATGCGTGCGCGTGCCTGTTGTGTGCTCGTGTGTAGGTTTGTGTGTTGTGTACATTTGCTCCACGTTTGTTGTTTTTGCCCGTGATGCATTCAGGCACCAGACAGAGTGTGGGTTATCTCGCGATGCCTAAAGAAAATGCGCTTTATTATTATTTTTAATCCACATTGAACCTCCCAAAAGGGACTGTCAAGAACATTTAATGTGAGTGTGAAAAAAGATAAACATGATTTCATGTTAGAAAACTACGGCCAATCGCCCATCTGCGCTCACTTAAACCTCTAAAAATATCAAAGCAATCGCCAAAGTATTTCGGCTTTTATGGGCATAAAGCTTTGTCCTCCCATATATGTTCACGATAGAGAAAAAGATTAATGTCCATAAAATCCAAAGCATTGTAACGATTGTTTTGATATTTTCAGATGCTGGACTAAGCGTAAGCAGAGATGTGCATGCGAGTTTTGAGAATGATTGGTCGTAGTTTTTTTGACATGAACTCATGTTGAGCTGTTTTACATTAAGCGTTAGAAACCAAACCCCCCCACCCCCCCCCCCCAAAAGCGACATGACATCTGATGCACTTGTGTCAGGGTTCTCAGAATTTTTACACCTTTGAAGAGCACACGATGGAGACAGTGGAGTGCGTGCGTGTGCATGCGTTTATGCGCGTCAACACTTGCCAGCTATGATGGTCGGGGTTTTTTTTTTTTTTTTTTTGCTCCTGATGCGTTCAGATGATGTCCTGAGAGTGGGGAACTATTTGTTTTTCTTTCCTCACGTTGTCAACTCCGATTCCGACTGTTTATCTTGTTGGTTTGAGTTGAACGTGAAGAAGTCATGACTTTCCATGTACTCTTACTTTAGCTTTTTTATTTTTTTAACGTACTGGCTGCTATGGATTGCTCTATGTCAATAGACAGGATGTGTGTGTCTGTGTGTGTGTGTGTGTGTGTGTGTGTGTTAATCTGCATCAAACAATAGCATGTGAATGGAGTCATTAGCGTAATCCCTTTTGTCATGCAACTGGACCACACACACAAACATGCACACAGAACACACACACACACTCACGCACGCACACACGCGCGCGCACAATGAACATCCTGAAAACATAAAAGCAGCTTTTGTGCATGCGTGTTCTTGTTTTGTGTGTGAACAGGAAGTGCTTGATCGACAGGTTTCACAGACGCGCACACTAGCAGTAGTCGTCCGCACCTGTTCAAGGAAGCAGATTGGAGAATAAAAGTGATGATCAACGAACAGTGAGTGGAATGATAAGTAAAAGTTAAAAGGAGGATTTTCATGATGTTAAACAACCAGGAGCACACTTTTTCAAATCCAAATAGTCTGATTGAATACTGCGGGTGTCATTTTTGTGAGTTTGTTTTCTTTTTTTGTGTGTGTCTGGTTGAAACGTGAACCTCTTCAAATAGAAAAAACATTAGAAGCTGAAAAGAGCCTGACACTAGATTTCTTCAAGGGACAGTAGCCATGTTGTATGATTAAAACAAAAATGTAAATGCACTCCAAATTTTGAACTCCGAATTTTAATCCACCAAAAATAAAATGTTGCGATTTTGTATGACATCAACTTTACCCCAGAGCTAGAAACTTTTGCGGGACCTTTAAGTCTTTGGAACTGTTGTCAGAAAGTAGATTGAATGTACTAATGAGAGAAGGTATGGGTCTCAAAAATGCAAACGTTTTGAAATGAATGACCTTTTTAAATGAAAAAAAAAACCTTTGTAAAGGCTTGGAAAGATCAACATTTCAAAGCGCAAACGGTAAAGAAAGTACACATTCCACATCAAAAACACAGATCTGAAGACACCCTGGACCTGCGTTGTGGAGTCACATGACTGGGAAACCTTTTCATGGCATCATCACTTGAAGGTTGATATCCTCTCACTGCATGAGGCTGCTAGCACGGAGACGCACTCTGAACGTCAATTGTCAACACACCCACACTTAACGGTGGGTGCTAACAGGGCCATCCAGCTGCTTTGTCATTCACACACACACCAGTTGTGTGTCCTTTATGCATTGCAGACACACACTCAGTGGGAGAGCAACACTTAACTATCTGACTCCTTACACATGGAAATGTTACACGTACACACAAGCATGGTGGAGATGGATAGATGGACTTTGAAACAATGTTGTGCGACGTTTGTCTTTTGTTGACATGACGACAAAGTTGTGTTGTCCCAAAACCAAAATTGAGACTTAGGTACTAGACCTGAGTAAAGTAACGCGATAGTGAACCGATATCACGGCAAAACACTAAAACATCAGTAAAAGCAAACATCTGAAAGAAACTTTTTTTTTTTTTTTTTTTTTACCACACCACCACTTTCAGTCATCTGACACACCACAATTGGGATGAATCCCTGATGAGAGCCAAGTCTTAAAAATACCATTGAGTCCACTTTGTGTTGTTTAACTTAGTGACACGCAAGCATGTTGAGAAATTTGGGACTTTTGTGTTTTAAGGTCATGAGAAGTTTGTTTTTGGGTGTCAAGAGATTTCACCAAAATTCCTGCCGTGGCGTTCACACGCTCCCAGCTGACATGCTAACGCGTGTGTGTGTGTATGTGTGTGTGTGTGTGTGTGTGTGTGTGTGTGTGTGTGT